TTATAATATATATATAAATTTAAAAAGAAAAATAATTGATGAAGAAAATTTTTCAAAAGAGATTTCAAAAAAAATATAATATATGATAACAAGTTGTTAAAATTTTATAAGAAAATAAATGAATTATTTATATCTATTACAATATAATTTTATTAAAAAATTTGTAATATATCAATATATTTTATTATTATTTTTGAATTTAAATAAAGTTTGTCTCTCATACTTTAATTTTAATTGTGCACTATTAAATATTTTCTTGAATAATTGTTCTTCTTAGTTTTATAATTTATATATTCTATTCTAATAAATTTCATAAAATAATATTACTCTTCTTTTTATTGTGACTTAAATTTATTTTTATGTTTAATATATTATTTTATATTATAAATTAAACTTTGTCTCCAATTTCAAATAGTACTATTTTTTATATTTTTCTATTATATTGTTCTTTGAATTTTTTTTGCAAGAAATTTATATTTTATTTAGTGTTATTGATTTATTTAGATAAATATTAATAAGTATAAATGTTCTATCTAATAGTTATTCTTTAATTTTAATTTTTTTTTCAAGTACTATTTCAAATTATAGTTCTATTAGTAATCTTGTTCTCTTTTATATGTTAGAAAAAATAATTTGTATCTTGTAATATTTTGAATAACTTTACTTAGACACAAAATACAAGTATTTTAGTAAAAATAAAAATTAATAATGAAAAACTAATTTATAATTTTCAGATCAAATCTGATCCAAATTTGATTTAATCTGAAATTATTAGTTTAAGTTATCTCAAATCTGATCTAATCTAATTCAAATAGAGTTTTAGTTCCTAAACTATTAATTAAATAGAATTAACATATTATATTTAATTTATAAAAACTTTAATAAATCTCTTAATAATTTACTTTTTATTTACTAACTTAATATTATTACTATTCTTAACAAAAATTTCATAATTCTATAATTTTTATAATATTATAAATTATGATGTATTATAATTTTGTCCAATGATATTTATATTATACAACCAAATTTAATATTTTTTTGACATTATATAATTATATATAATATAAAATTCATAAATATCATTCTCTTTTTGGTTAATAATTAAAATAATTATTAATAAATTATATTTTTGTATACTTTAATATTTTCTTCTCACCTTTTATTTTTCTTTTATATTTTTTTATTTTTTCAAATTAATCTTTTTGCTATTGATACATTTTATATTTTATTATTAACAAAAATATTCTTAATTTAAATTTTATTTTCTATAGTCATATTTTTTTATATTTTTTTAATTTTGCTTTTCAAATATAATAACTATAAAAATATTTAACTATATATTATTAAAATTAAATTAAATAATTAAAAATAATTATAACTAAAAAATAAATATTATTTATATATCTAGAACTAAAAATTTAATTATTTATTTAAAAATCAAATATAATATTTTGTTTAATCAATTAGAAATATGAAAGCTAACAAATTGAGTTCATATATAATTATATTAATCAAATAAATAATAGAAATAAAATGTTTTTTGTTTCACTCTAAATCAATAAAATAATTTTAAAAATAGAGTATTTTTTGTAATTCTCTAGTTAATAATTAAATATGCAAAATTATATCATTTTTTATAATTAATTATATATAATTAGATAATTTTACAAAAAAATCTATTTTATTCTTAAATAAATTTAATTATAATATACAAAATTATTATTTGCAAATTTTTATTTAATATCAAAATAATATTTTTATTATATATAATAATATTATAAAATATCAAAATTCTTATTAGTAATAATAAAAAATTTAATAGATTTAGTTAATATAATTCAAATTATTAAAAATTTCAAAATTGAATACAGATAATTTATATAATAATAATAACTGAAAAAGTTATTATAAAGAGCTAAAAGAAATTAATAGCTAACTTCTAGTTAATTTCTCTTATTATAATAATTAAATACATTAAATAACGTAATTGAAATACAAAATGTCAATAAAATAATTAATTAACTGCTATAAAGTCAATACCAAAATATTATTATAGATTTGTAAATCTGAAATTATTACATATTCAATAAGAAAAATAATACAAATTTATAATAATAATAATAACAGAAAATGTTATTATAAAGAAATCAAAAAGCTAAAAGAAATTGATAATTTCCAGCCAACTTTTCTTACTATAATAATTAAATACACTATAAAAAGAAACTTGTTTTGCCAGAATTAAATTCACAATGATCATGTTTTTTGAATGAAATACGTAATAGAAAATACAAAATATTGTATTTTGATTGGTTATTGTATATAATCTATCTTTTCAGAATGGGCACACAAAAAATTATTATTTGTCAAGCAATGTTAATTCAATTCACATTATCTTAATACACACAATCATTTGTTATATTATTAATTTCGTTAAATTATATATTTTTATTATTAAATAAAATAAGAAATAAATAAATTGCTAAACATTGCACTTTTATTTATCAATTAAAGCACTATAATTTTATAATTTAAGTCCAATAATAATAAGTTTATAAATTTCATAACTTGACTAAAGCAGTGTGTAATAGTTTAAATATATTTATATGAATACGATCTCATGACAAAATAGATCATGTGAATTAAGAATTTCAGCTTCATCATCAGCCGCGCGACAATAAATGAAGAAAAACAATGACTTTTAATCTCTATTACTGGTCACATATCGAATTTCTTGTACAAAATTGGTTTAAAAAAAAATCAAAGGAAAAATATTATATCATGACTATTCAAACAGTAAACATTAATATGCAAAGTTAATTCTGATTATGACATTTCAAATTTTCAAGATTCTCCATCCTCCCATAAATCAAAGTGTTTTCCGAACTTGACTCAGCAATCATAAAAAAATCCGACATCAAATTAGAACTATTAACATTTCTAATATTTGCCATTCGAGCTTTCAAAGCAGCTCCGTATCCTGCCGAATTCCTGCCAGACTATCGCCACACGTCAACTCCAAACATATCCGCCAACACTTTTAAAATTTCGTATTCTCACACTTTTTACCAGACATTAATTTTTCTGTACGAATTCGCATCGACATAAACTGGATCTAAATTGTACCTACATTATATTTTGAATCGTCATCTTGAACCGGTTCTCGGTTAATGAAACGATGAATTCCATGAGCGAATAGTATGATTTCTTGAATGGGAAAATAAAAGCTGAGTTTATTTTCATGGGGGTGTGGATAAGCATGTAGTATTTTATTGAATTTATTCCACAGTTTATTTGCATAAGTGTCGAATGGATAACAGAGTATGATATTCTGTAGTAGGATTTACTTAATTTATCAAGAGCAATACGATATCGGAAGTCCCAAGTGATACAACTATATCTCCCTGTTCAAGTCTTAAAAAAGAAAGGAGACTTGACGAATTATCTCCATAAATGTCAAAATCATACTTTTAAGGTCGAGTGAGCGTGAAGCACAAAAATCACTTTAATTTTCTAAATAGATATCAGCTAACTCAAATATTTTCTAAATTCTTACTGTAATCAAATCCATATCTCTTAATAAAATATTCTGAAATTTTACCGGATCCGACCCGTTCAAGAGTTAACCGGTCAACTGTTGAACCACCCAGTTCACGGATTGATTTAACAGTTGACCAGTCGTTTTTCTGGTTAACCGGTAATATGCAGATTGACTTACGTAATGTTAATATTATTAATTACAAATCGTGTACCGTAGAGCACTGCCTATAGTACCCTCCCCTGTTAAAACTTTCCATTTGATTTAATCTCAATTTTTAAATAAAATAATTATTTTTTCTGCAAAAATGAATAAACTAAGAGTCCCAGTGTAACTCTTCAAAAACTCTTATCATTAAATTATTTGCTTTGAGGTTAAATAAATGACAAAGTTTTTACAGGGGAGGGTACTATAGGCAGTGCTCTACGGTAAATTTAATGACTGTTAAAAAAACACGCTTGAACCCCAAACTCTTTGAAGCTATGCTTTTTTTTGAAAAGAAATGTTAATTTTGTAGGTTCCATATTTTCGGGTGGTATTAATTGATAGCACTTTATTCCTTTAATCTAGTATTAATCCAAAATGATATGATTCGATTTCTATTAATTCTTCAATTGTTATTAATTTTCTATGCATCGAAATTAATTAGATACTATCGCTATATAATATGACTCGATGAACAAACGGGTTTTATCAAAGGTTGACCGGTTGGTAATTTTTTTTTGAACGGTTTAAATCAATAGTTCACCGGACGGATCACTAACGCTAGTATGTACGAAATTCAATGCAATTTGATCGGTCACGCAGAAATATAATAGTTGTAATAAAGAAATTATCAACTTTGGATAACAATTATATCATATACAAGTTTTGAGACGTTAAGAACAAACTTTAAAGAAATAAGAATTATTATTAAAAGTTAATTCTATTAAAGTTAATCTCCTTTAGAGATGCTGACACAGTTAACAATTTATTTTGGTTTCTATGGAATGATTGTAATGGCATAAAATATTGAATTATCGTTATTGTTTTTCTTGTATGGTGTCTAAACTCATCAATAGATTGTATCAGTATTAACTAACGCTAAGCAATACCAGATTAAAATTTGTATTTATTTCTTAGTTAAAAAGTTTATTAAATTTATAAACATATGCACCAAATTTATATTTTAAATTCTCTAAAGAACTGAAGCAATGAAAATGCAATTTATTCAATTTTACACTTTTTTTGTAGTTACACTTTTTGTGGTTTACTTAATGATCAAAAAAATATACGTAACATGCATTTAAAATTGCGGAAAATAATTTGGATAAATTCCTGAAATACAACAAGAACATAAGTAAATACGAAAAACTTCGAAAATGTAAATACCAATAGATACTTACGATCATGGAAAGACTTTTTAATAAATTTGATCTCATAAGGTAAGAGCCTAGATTCAATATAACGAATATCTTCAGCAATGTCGACAAAGAGAGTAAGATGCTTTACGCGACCACGAATATTCTCCAGAAAATTTCCTAAATATGTAAGCGATACACCATAAATTGCAAGAGAACTGATTTGTGGTGGAAGTGACTGTCCCAAGCTAAACAATACGTCATTTGTTTTTAAAGTATAGAAATCGATATGCTCGAGTTTGGGGCAAGATTCTGATAAAGAGGAAAGTTGTTCAAAGTTTAACTCTCCCAAACTTAAAGCTCGTAAATTCAGAGAGTTTATATGTATAAAAGGCAATAATTCCGCAATAATAGCTTTTCCTTTATCAGAAGTAATTGAAAAACAAGTTTCTTGAATTAAAAGATACTGGAGATTGTCGCCACTCGTTTCGATTATTTGTTTGACAAATGCTACTGGTATTTCTCCGAACCTTCCTGCAATCGCTAAAAGTTCCAATTTTGTAAAAAATTTCGCAGTTTCTATCCACGACTTTTGCTCGATTGCATAGCATTCATAAAAATCCAGGCAGAGAAGATTTACGCAAGAACTTAAACCTTCAATTATCAACTCAGACCGGAATAGGTTAAAGTTAATATTGTAAAATCGAATGGCGCCGAATGTGCGAGATGAAGATTCAAGACCACTACTGATAAATCTTATAGTAGTGGCAGATAACGAATTCAATTCCAGCCATTTGAGTTCATTTTGAGCCATTATTGTGTTTTTTAATTTATTACCATTAATTTGAATCGCTTCATTATAGCAAATATTTCTTGGATTCTTGTTAAGGGTAATTCCACGAATTGAATGACAAGCGTCGGTCAGATTTTCAAGGAGATTTTGAAGCCTTTTGCCATCTTTTATTCCAGATACTCTCAATTCCTTGAGTTTATTAAAAATCAAATTAGGTTGATCTTCGCGAGACATCAAGCTGCCGCAACTTTCAACATCTTCACTCAAATTATAATAGAATGATTGGATAAACATCGCCTCAGTGAGAAATAGTTGATATAACGCGTTAGACAATGCATTACGTTTTTGCAGTTGTTTATCCGTCGGAGGATTGATTTTTTGTTTTAACCATGCTCCCGTTGCTTCTAGAACTGCCTGTGGTTCATAGTGTTTTAAGAACGAAGCGTAGTTGAATGTTGGAGGTCGTGTAGCACGTGGTCGGCTGATTCCATTTTTAAAAAGATATTGCCATATTTCTTTAGAGAAAAGACTGACATACACATTTATGATTTTCGCCAATTGTGAATTTTTTGCCAATTCTGCGTCGGATAATATCTTTCGAACTCGCAAAAAAGAATGGCTTCTGAAATTTTGAATTTCAGATAATTCTTGTCTTTTTACTGGTAATGGTTCTTCCCAAAGAATAGGTACTATTTCGCGACACCACTGTCGATCGACAAGTAGACATTTGAATTGTAACGCTTTATTAAGATTTTTGAATATTTCTTGGCGTATTTCAGTCGGTAATAATTGAAAATCGTTGGCTTCCATTTTCTAGAAATATTTAATATTTGATAATAAATAGAATATACGATTACGAACAACTTGGAGGTTGCTAAATTAGGAAAATGAATCAAATCAGTTTTACATACCGGACCGGTACAAACTTATCGTTATTGTTTACCGTTACGTTTACGTTTATAACCCTGTCAGATTATGTAATCGACGAGTCACGCTATACCGATACAGAATTCGGTTAATGATCGTATGTATGTTTATTTTCGTTTCGTGGCCAGCGTTAAGAAATTATATGACTTGAAATGGGTGATCTTTATAATTAGTAATCAATTGCAATTTGACCAAGGCTCTGGAAGTCGTATCGGTAAGGTAACTTTTGTCCCGAAATTTATCCAATTCTAAATAGCCCATCCAGAAACCAATTCAGCAGAGGGATGTGCCAATTTGGGATAAGAAAGTAAATCTTGATTAGCACGTTTTAACCCTTAAAAGAAACAGTTTTCTATGACATGAATAAATTTGAAATTGTCCTGAATTTCTAGTAAATTTTCATCAAATTATACAGACGATATCAATATATTTACACCAGCATTTATTTATCCCTCTATGATGCATAACTTCTAAAGTTATCAAACGTTTGTAATTCATCAAATGAATGTATAAGCTTCTCAACGAAGAAATAAATTCAAAATTTAAGCCATGAATATGATAGAATAGGCCCTTTTTGATGATGTTCACGGATTAAATTTTGTATTACTCCTTAGTTGAGAAGGTAATACATTTTATAAAATACATGTACGTATAAACATTTGATGTTATGCACCATAGAACAAATCATCAAATATGTGATGTTATCGGAATGGATTTTGCAGTATAGATGATGTTGGCCTCGTATTTTTGACTGTGTTTTTGGAACAAAAGGCAAAACTTCCGAATATAACATGGCCAAAAATAACGAGCACAGTCAAAATACGAAACTGAAGTATAAAAACAACAATTTGTCGAGAGCGTGAATTCACATATTTTTCTTGGTCGTTTCAAAAGTCATAATTGTCAAAACTTGCTATTTCTCATAAGACATGTATTATTGTAAAAATTGTAAGCTAACGTTTGCATAATTCTAGATAGATATCTTTAATTATATCGATTTGATCCCAAAATGTGATAGTTGCTTATGTTCAGTCATATACGGTATATATACAAACTTTAATTGTTCGAATCTTCATACGTCTTTTTGTATATAAAAGTAACTCAAACCATCGAAGTACCTATATTCTTAGTAAGAAGCGGATTAGTATTGTCAACAGCTGTTGACAATGGTGCGCGCCAGAAAAGTCAGAAAATCTATTATTTCCGGAAATAAGTAACTGGGAAAAAGATGATGCCAATAAAGATGACTTCTTGTCAGAAATTCAATCAAGAGTCAGAATATGAGTTTGAAGAAGGAAATTACATCCTATTCAATTCCTCGAATCTAGAAGACAGTATTACATCCAAGATTATTAGCGTTAGATATTAAGCATGAAATCATTTACACCCGTTGATTGTCTATCGAAGTATTGGTCAGCTGTTAACGGAAAACATCGATTTTAAATAAATATATATTATTATTAAAATACACAAGTTATGCAGAAACTGAATGTTTATAAGAGTCTACTGACTCCTTTACGTGTCTTACATCAGTTTTTCATTACTTCGAGTTGTGTTCAATCAGATTTGCCGTGCAGCAAACGATACTGATACTGACAAGGCCCACAAAACGCACCCATAACGATTATGATAAGATTTATAGATTTTGTTAACTATTTATACGAGCCCAAAGATATCATTGTTATTTGCTCTCAAACTGATCTATACGAGTCCAAAGATATCATTGTTCTCTACGGGCAATTAAACAACTAACCTTAATCGTAGCGAAGATCGAGATGTACTGTACTAAATTTTTAATCGGTATTGTTACAGACATATCAGTCTTTTTAGTATATTTCCGTATTTTTTTTACTTCTATCTGATGTTTGGCAAAATGAAATCTAACATTTAAATATGTTGGGCTACAGTGGCGCTCGAAAATATTGCATCACTAAAACGAAAAAACAAAAAAGTCAATTTTAAATAATATAATCGCCACAAAATATGAAATTCAGCACATACGTATATAGTTAAAAGCCTAAATAAACTGCTCACGTAATTTACATAATAAATATAACACCACTTGATTTATTTAGTCTTTATTTACGTCAAATCAGTGATGCATTTCTTTTGATCGTTCCCCCTCAAAAAATAAAGTATATAAGCACATCAAAAAAACAATATACATGTACTATTCAAATTATTATGGCACATATCCCCATCGAAAATAGATTATAAATTTATATCGTTCTTAAAGTATATTTTATTACAAATCATGAAAATATTTACTAATTCACCATTATCGTTATAGAAATAAAGCAAAAAAAAAGATATTCATGATATCTACCAAAACCGGGTATCCTAGAATTTTACTGGTCATGACATACATCTAATTTTGATGATTGTTCTCTTACAGCTTCAATCCAAAAAAAATCCGAAGACAAAATCAAAGTACGTACAATAAAGTGAACTTCATATGGAAATGGTTTCTCTTCATAAATTAAGTAAAAGAAACTATATTATAAGAAACACATTAAATCAATATTTGAATTTTGCAAAAAAACATTAGCATTAAACAATTAATGACTAGAGCAAAGTTATTTGATCTAATAAATCAAAATTTATGATTTTTAATTCAAACGAACATGAATATTATACTGGAAACATGATAATAAACCACTAAAAGAGCACCATGTGAAATCTAGTGTAAAATTTGGAGTGGAAATATAATGGTTTAAAGTTGCTTTTCTTTCTTTGATATTGATAATATCATGTGTATTTATGATTACAAAATTTTAAATAATGATCTTTTAGAAACAATTAGGTGATATAATATTAATTAATATGGCAAATTTTACTTATAAATGATTTGATGACAATGATATTTATATACTTGATTGGTCTCTAATTGAATGAAATAGATCAGTATTTGAGAACATCATCCATCCCTCTGGAACATTATGCAAAAGTGTGAATCAAAATGAATAATGCATTTTTATGAATCTAATTAAAAGTATGGAGAAGTGTATCCAAAATTTAATTGATGCAAAGGGTGGATGCAATATGTGGTAAAGAATGTTTAGTAAAATTTGGTGAATTTTTATTTGCTAGTTGGTTATTAATTTGCATTTTTGTAATCAAAATGATCAATAAAATGGATTATTTTTATTTTAATGAAAAATAAAGTAAATACAATAATTCTTTTATATTTGATGACTAAAATAAATTTAGTTATATATTGTTTGACGTTGTGTATGAAAAGTTATTGCATGATAACGATAAGGTATACAAAAAAATATTTAAATCAAAAATCAATACAAAAATTTGGATCTCTTTTCATTTTCATCTTCGTCAACACGGTCAATAACGAACCACCCAATCAAAGAAGAAACATAAACTTCAGCATCGTCTCCACTTCCGACAAGCTCTTGTCTGGCACCCAAAAAACCGGCAGAAAAACTCAAGTCTAGACCTAGGTCAGTAGTGAAAGGCACGATAACTCCTCCATCCGGTACAGCACTGGTCTTAATTTTGTTTGTTGTTATTTTATTACCATATTTATCATATGGAAAGAATGCTGAAATCCACCCGGTCCAGCAAATTGGCGAACCAGATCCACCACCCGTTCTCGAAAACACTTTGCTCCAAAATTCTTCGTCGATTTCTCCACGATAAGTGGCGACTAGTTTCCAAATAACTGGATCAAGACGATCAAGCCAAAAATCCATATCCAGACCAAGATCACGAAGTTTTACGACTTTTTCTTGAATATGAGTCCAGTCTTCTAGAGAACCTTCCAAAGTCACTTTTGGAATACCACATAAGGTAGAAATTTTGTAGTCGAAATATTTTTTTAACGCATCTAAAAGAATGACACGACTTGCTGTTTTTGCTGCCATTGAACTGGTTGAGAAATCACACTCTAGAATTTTTGAGAGATCTACTTTTTTGATATTCTCCGAAGTTTTATTTTCGAGACGATGAATAACTTCAGGCCAATCACCTTCAAGAAGGTTGTTATTAAATGTTAAAACATCACCAGCAAAGACATCAATCAATTTTTTTCCTTGATGTTCAACAAAATAACTACGAAATCTTTCAGCGTTAAAATTAATATGTTTGCTAACACCCTGTGCGATAGTTAACCATACATCATCTGGTTTGAGACGAAGATGTTGATGGTGATTATATGCTTCGTGAATTGCAGCGACAAATCCATGATTATATCCGCCCACGAATTTTGTTTGGAGATTATCGTTATCGCCGGTTTCTGGATAATCTACCGAAATAGCATGAATAACTTTGCCTTGATATAACTTCGTGAAATCTTCTTTGACGTTTTTGTGTTCAAGCAACTTGAGAGTTTTGGCAACTTTTGTGCCTACTACTTGAGTACTTTTTTGTAGAGTTGTTGAAGTCATATCAATCAACATTAATCTAGGAATTTGATATTGATGCCCGACTTTTTGTACAATACGTACAATGGTGATGGATTTTCTATTGTTTGCTGTAATAAGCACCACCTTACGTATTTCAATCCAAAAATAGTAAAACGATAATAAGCACCACTAAATGGTGGTGACAATTTAGAACAACAGTTTTAAGTAAGTACGAACACTCAGTGGACAAAAGTTTGGAATCGGGAAATGATCAGCAATATTGCTCAACTTCTTTTAAACTACAATAAAAGATATATTGGCAAAAGTATGACTATTCATACATATATTTTAATATCGGGTTGGATATCAATCACAGCTTGCCTACTTTCAGACAAATTTTTAAAATTTCCAGTTCGATTTTTTTCCATGCCTCTGCAAGTGCATCCATTAATTCTTCTTGATTTCGGGATAAATTGGTCATGCACGAATTCGTCTTTCCAAAACATCCCATAAATGCTCAATTGCATTTAGATCATGACTCTGAGCAGGTCATGGAAGTAAAGTTATTAGATTTCTCTCTTTCCATTCATTAACCGGATTATTTCTGTGCATTATCATCTTGAAAAAAATGAACAAAACTAGCTGGCAATTCATCTAAAAATGGTTTAAGATGCTGTTCAAGTATTTCTACATATTTTTGTCCAGTTATTGTATCTTCAATTAGTGGTCCAAGTGCATTTTGAGTAAAGATTCCCATATCATTACTTCCCGATTACCTGATTTCATACTAGAAAGAAGACAATCAACGTCATATTTTTCATGGGGTTGACGCCAAATCCATTGCCATAAATCATTAAATATCTTGATTCATTACTCCAAATTACTGATTCGCATTCACGAATTCAATCTTTTCTCTCTAGACACCATTTTAATCGTTTTTGACGGTTTTCCTTGGATATTAAAGATTTTCTTAGTCCAACCCAACAAAAAACCCATTTTCATGAAGATTAGGACGACGTATGGTTTTAGAAACTTCCAAAGCAGTATTGAATTTTTCATTAATTCGTTAATAGCTTGTTGTCAGTTTTCTTTTACAATATTAATTATTCTTTGGGTGGCTCTAGGATTTAATATTCATGGTCTACTGCGTCAGAAGCAACTGTGGCTCAGTAAACTCTTTATACTCTATATTTGTGTATAACGTTATGAATTGTGGATTTGGGTCGTCCTAGAGTTTCTCAATTTCTTTTTCGGAAAAACCACACTTTCAAGCCCCGATTATCTCGCCATGCTCGAAATCCGTAAGTTAGCAATTTCTGCGAGTGTTAGTTGGATTTGGCATATTTTTTACGTCGTTTGAAAGCTTACCGTTACGATTTTAGCTTTCTAACGAGCTATTGTACGTTATACATGTAATTGGACTTTTATATGTTGCACACAATTAATGATTATAGTCACCCTTTTGTCCATCAAGTGTACATCTAGTTAAGATCGAGATGTGAAAGTTTTGCGCATATAAATTATTTAAAAATCGCATGAATACAATGATTTGAATACTGAAATATTTATTTTTCTACAAGAATCGTAATTCTTAATTAACTTTCAATTTGCATTTTTTAAAGAGCAAGTTTTTCTCGTTTAATCACTAACAACTTCCATAATTAGTCCCTAACTTAGTTCATTTTCCTTGCTAATCTGTTTTCAAGCAGTTTTCTTCATGGTTCGCCACTTTGCTGATTGTGCATTGGGCTTTTTATATGAAATTAATAAAATTAAAAATAGCATATACTCATGATTTTAAAGTTCGTCTAATGATATGTGTTTTTACATGGACTCCATTAATGACGGTCAAAAATCATCACTTCTGTAAACATACAAAATATAATTTAGATATTATTACATAACTTTGAATGGCAGCCATTAATGACAAGCCTCGTCCAGTTCGATTTACATTTGTATGAGATGACTTACTGGCATTAGTTGTCAGAATCTTAATTGCAATAAACAAAATATTAAAAAAATATGCATCATACCTGAGAGTATAGGACTTCATAATACATATAGATAACTTAATGAGAATATTGGATATACAGCATTAATAAAATCAGTTTAAATTTAGAATTGTTGTGCATATTTTAATCTTTAGCATACCTTTTAACCAATGTTCGAAATTTTAAAGCAATCAAATGTACTCATGAGAACTTAAAAATTTTTTATTACACTGACTAATGCTTTTAAGTCCTCTATTAATTTATACATCAAATTTTAAAGTAATTGAAAGATCGAGTTCCATTTTTCATGTGACTTAGAACGTTAAAAAACTTATTAGAGTGATTTCTGAGTCAGAATGATTTAAATTTGAAAAACTTCTAATATCAAATCAAATTTTTGTCAATTGTTCTGATATAAATTTACCAGAAATTATTCTGTTTACGGTAAGAGATTCAAATTGTGTAAAACTTTGTTCTACTGAAACGCCATTTTTCTTAAGGAAAATTTGTAACGGAGAATATATTCAAATCAGTAAATTCGTAAAATTTTTACTTATATGGTGCATAAACTCTAAAGTCATGAAATGTTGTACATGTATTTTATAAAATGGATAAACTTCTTACTAAGAAGTAAATACAAAATTTAATCCGTGAATATGATAGAGTAGATCTTTTCTGAGCATATTCACGGATTAAATTTGTATTTACTTCTTAGTAAAGAAGTAAATCCATTTTACAAAATACATGTACAACATTTCATGACTTTAGATTTTATGCACCATAAAGATAATAATGGTTGTTTATTGTTATTAATCCTGATCGCTAATGGCGAGGAAAAAATGATTTTCTGTGAGTTTTTAAGTTTCAATAATATTAATTCTAATAGACCAGTAGATTTGTTTTCGATAGAAAGATAGTAGAATAAAAGATTACGATAAATTATTTATATGTTAATTTAAATTCATGAAACAGAATTCCACTAAAAAATTGATGTCAGTTATTTGATTCAACCGGTTTAACACCCATAATAAGAAGGACTACTTAAAATATCATTAAGAGACCATACCTGGTTCTCATGCTCTGTTAAATCGAACACCGCTCTTTGCTTCGAGTGCACCAATCCAGGTTGAAAACCCAGATTTCGAACACTGATGATGATACATTGGTTTTATTTTTGAACAATGGTTTTTTTTTATTTATAGTAAATAGCCATTCATAATTTGCAACAAGTACGAATTTGACAACTTAATAATTTAATAGATAAGTTATGTCGCTGAATTTTAATATATTTGATCTTTATTAAGTATATACAGCAAATTATTCACCTAATACTGGTCGTTCGTTAATACTGTTTGAATTCAAAACAATAGCTCCGTCTATTTTGAATTATTCAATTGTTTGCATTGTTCAATATTATGAAAGAGCGTTCTTATTAATAACATAAGCTTTTGCATTTTCTTGACATCATAAAAAGCACAAGTACTAGAACCTTTGAATAACGGTTACCATAATTAACAATTTGTTTTGTTTTATCCACAATTCTTATTACGTACATGTATTATCGTTATTATGTTCGAATATTATTTATTTAGAATTATTATAAAGTAAAATATACTACAGTATTTATCGTTATTAAATAAACAACAAGCACAGTATTCATCTAAGTATATAGAGATTTTGCAAAAAAAAATACAGTACATATTAAATTTGCGACTGTGATTTTATTGTTTAACAATATAAATTAAAATATTATCAAATATAGTGCGGTTGAAAAAATCAATTCAAAAACACAATAAAAAGAGACAGACCTTAAGTTGTTCCCTCCCATCAACCAAATCAACTATAATCCAAAGCAACAATTATCAATCAAATTGATTATAACTAAGTGCCTTTTATTTACGTACTAAATTAAAATAAAAATGAAACCAACAACCAATACGCAATCAACATTCAATCCTGTCGCTGTTATCGTACCAAATGGCGCTATCAAGGGACCTACCGACGATCCAAACGACGGTCATGCCACAACTCAATGTGTAATCGTGTGAGCAATTAAACGAGATTCGAAAGAGTGTAATATTGTCTTAACCGTCAACAATCGACTTGCAACAATTTGATTTTCAAAATTTCAGTTTACCTGTTTTCACTTTTTTGCTTCAATAAAGTCTCTTTTATTCGATGTTTAATTTAAATATTTAATTCTTAATACATGTGCATTCTTATTTTGATGTTACAAATATAATAAATTACATGTACATGTATTTACTTCTTAGAAATTTACTGATGGTAATACATGTACACAATAGCAAACTGATTTCGCGTCAAAATTTGATTGCATTCAAAAAATGATAAATTTTGGAATCAATAGAACTTGATAATGTACTTGAAAGTGTTAAAAAATTTTGCATATTTTGAAACCATGATGTTTTAAATCGCGTTACTTTATAGTTATTCTAAAAATTTAATCATAAGACTGTAAAAAGATTTGGCAAAATGGCTAGTATAATGCTTGAGAAATTTCATAAAAAACTGGTATTTCGCTTCATAAAACTTGGCAAATTCTGTATATTTATTATCCTGGTTATTTATATAAAATTGCACCTGCCATATTGATCAAATTGTAAATTCAAATCATTTTTTTATGACTCAATGTAACATTTACAGAATTCGAAGGTATAATATAAACTGTCTGTATGAGCTTTCTCGACTTACTTGTATTGCTTTCTTGTCAAAACGCATTTCTCTTCTCACTCCTCATACCAAAGAAACTGATTTCGATAGTCAGACAATTATCTCGATTATAACTGATGCAAGTTTTTATTTTTTAATAGAATGACTCTATAATTATTCTGAGACACTTAACTGATACGTTCACGTGAAAATACTGTTGCACCAATGATAAAACACCTGTTCAACTCCATATGTAAAGAGCGATTTGTGCATGTAGCAAGATTGGAATATGCGCATTTACACAAAACATTAATTGGTATCTGTACCATGCGAAATTCTTAACAATCGCTTTATGACAATGCAACAAATATTTGCTGGATTTTCCTGCAGGACAAGAGTTCAAAACATCATTCAAATAACATACAGAATGATCTCGAAGCTCAACTGCTGGAATGCTTTCTTTCATGATCATACAGCTCTGATCTTAAATCAAATTGAAAAAATCTGGTCATTCCTTATAAACAGAATGTTGAAAAAAAGTGTTACTCAAAAGAAATCAGTGTTACAGGAGGCTTTTATCGCATTAGTGGAGAATAATTGAATAACTCTTTTTGAGATGCTGGTCTCTAGCTGTATTAGCAGTATGCTAGACTATGTTCAAGCCCGTATTGACAAGAAAGGAGAAAATACATATTAATATTTTATGTGGGCATGTTGTCACAATTAAAAATAATTTTGTTTGTTTATTATTTAATTTTTTTTATTTTAAAAAAATTTCTCTGCCATTACTTTTCATGCTGACTGTATTTACAAACCAATTTGTATTTAAGGAAAAGATTTTTTATTATTGATATAATTGTGAGTTTATCAAATCTAAATGTTCAATTTTATAAAAATGACTATGTGCATAACATCTAAAGTCATCGAATGTATAAACATCTTTACTAAGAAGTAAATGCAAAATTTCATTTGCCCTTCTGAGCATATTACGGATTAAATTTTGTATTTACTTCTTAGTAAAGATGTTTATCCAATACAAATATTGATAGGTTACGCACCATAAAATAATCCATTACCAAATCATGTGTAAAAATCAATACAAACTATGGAAATCACTATTCAATGAGAAGTTGTTGAATAATTTGACTTGAGAAAACTTATCCTGAAAAATTAAGTAAAGTTGAAATTTTTATTTCTATTAATAATAAATATTTTTTTATTTTGCATCAAATAAACATATTTCTTGAAGATATCAATAAAGTAAATTTCAATTTTTATTATATTTATTATAAAAAATTGGATAATCGGTTTTATGTTTCAAAGCTATTATAATTTTGAGTTATAAATTTTCACGCAATCTTTTTTTTTTGTTTTTAGCGTTAAATATTTATCTAAAAGAAGCCACTTGCTTAAAATAATTTCCTTTAATTAATTAAAATAAAATAGTTCTCATCTAAACTCTTTCTTTCAGATATTATATTATAAAAAAAGAACGCTTTAGAATTCAACTGCAAAAAAATAATAACCGTGTATTACCAAACGGTTAAAGCAACAAAAGCGTTAGAATTAACCAGCTGAAATAATGCCAAATATGATTTGATTTTTTGAAAAGCATTTCTTTAACAAAATTAACCGTTATATCCTACGTAACGATGAAAAAATACTTAATCGGCAAAATGTGTTTCCAATGGAAACGTTCAGGAATTTTTTAGTGTAACTAGCGGAAATTCAATATCGCGTTACGTAAATAATACATGTACGTATAATGATAATGATTTCTCATTTTTTGTTATTATAATTATTGTAGCATATGACTAGAAATTGTACTTGTTGACTCCAAACGACGTTTTCGGGTTGGGGAAGGAATTATAATTTGTTCTGCTATCATTGTTCTCGTTACTTTCTACAGTGAAACTCGATATAACGGACCCCTTCGTTCCTGCCATGCTGTCCGGTAAATCGACGGATCCGCTATAACAGATAAAATTTATATAACGTTATTATAGCTGGTTCCGAAAATTAGTCCGTTATAGACTAAATTCGCTATTTCGATCGTCCGTTATATCGAGTTTCACTGTGATCATCTAACGCCAACGCTAATTAAGAAGATTTTTTTATTTTTTTCATTAATCTCTAATTCCTTGGTGTTGTAAAACAGAAATCAACGAGAATGGAGATATCGAGTTTCTTTCAAGAAGAGTAACAACTTCATGATGAAACACTTCCAATATCATGCTTGAAACTGGTAAGCATTACTTTATAGATGCATTATCGTTATAAATCACATTAAACGGATAAAATTCTTTTATTAGACTGTCGATATCTAAACCATTCAGCTTCAAGTACACAATATTTGATGTATTAAATGACATTATCGTTTTTAAAGAGTGAGATTGAAGAAGAGTGCGTAACTAAATGACATGCATAAAAGGGAAATATTGAGTTTGACGAACACTCATGTATTAAATAACGACGACAAATTGCTAGGATCAAGCAAGTAACAAAATGACATTACTGCGTTTGTTGTTAACGTTATATTGTTCTCTAAAAAGTAGATTTCGAGAATCGCTTGGAACAAACAAGCTGACAATTGTCAATCCTAAACATTCGATATAAATTTTAAAACGTGAAACGATAATATCAATATGATTTATATTTAAAAATAGAAAGTACCTGTGTCAGTTGGAATTGAATTAGTTTTGATGTAAACATTCGACTGGTGTAAATTGCGTTTGAATGGATTTTTTTTCATTCGTATTTGTAGGAAAGCTCTTTTTTCAATTTCATCTCCTTATCAAGTTTATCTAATTTCTGCCTTTCCAGTTCGAGACACTCAAAAATTTCTTCGCGTATTTTAGGATATTCTAAGGAGCCGTAGTGCTGAAAATGCAAAGTATTCAGTTCCCACTCCTCACTGTAGATACTGATGATAGAGTAGATAAAGTCTTTAAGTTCCTTAACAGTTGGTCTGTTTTCTGGAATAGGATCCCAACATTTTTCAATAATAAACTTGAATAATTGAGGAACATTATTTGGTATCATAGGTCGTATTCCTTTAAAGATCTCTAATACGAGGTGTCTATCATGACTCCGCTCACCAAATGGTCGTTCACCTGTAGCAACCTCGTACGTTATCATTCCCAAACTATAAATATCTGCAGCTTTAGTGTATGGTTTTCCATTTAGTACCTCTGGACTCACATAAGGAAGTACTCCGCAAATTTTTTGATCAGATTTTTCTATATCTGCTGGGCCAGTAAGTCCAAAATCAGCAATTGAAGGATAATTCTTCATTAATATATTTCCAGGGTGAAAGTCACAAATTCCTCATTGTGAATTATATTTAACCCTTTAATGATATTAATTAAATGTCTTAATTTTGTTCCCTTGTCAATGTTTTGTAGTTGGAATTCATATATTTGCGTAAATCACAATCTTCTGCATATTCCATCACTATTGAGTATTCATTTTTAGTTGTTCCATAATATTCATAATATTCAAGAGTATAAGTGCACTTTAGAGCATTCTGAATCTAATTTTGAAAAATTTAATTAGATTCAAAAATAAAAAGCAATATGCTTACATTTGAAGGCGTTCATTTTACCTCGTTTATAAACTCGGATGTAATTTGTTTTGAATTGTGTAATGATTTCAACACAACTTCACATTTTCCTTCTTGTTTATATTTATTCTCTACATGATTCCAATACCCAGGTTTTAATGGTCTGTCCAACCAGGATGCTTTATGAATTGATACAAAACCGCCATTTGCAAGATATTCCACATTCTGTCGCATTTATTTACTAGACTGGCGATTTCCACTGGACCATTAACATAAATCGTTTGTGACAATAAAAACATCCACTACACCACTCATTTTCTTGACAATTGGCACCTTTACTACAATCATGAGTATTGTGAACTGAACACTCATCACAGTAACCCCATCGACAATCGCGACAGTTATTATTACAATCATGAATATTATGAACTGGACACGCTTTGCAGTAGTTGTAATAGTCTCGACACGACAACATTTACTACAATTATGAACCATCATTGAGTTGATTAGTGATTATGGCAGTGTTTTATGTAAAAACGAAGATTTATATGTGGAGGAGTGGAAGTCGTCGTCGTTCACATGTGTTTGTCGAACGATTTATGCTTGAAGAAGAGTTAAAATTGCCATCAATGAATACACATGACCTACCCTAGTAAAATCGAAACGAAAAGTCATACACATTTAAAAAAAGTAAATTTACATAGCTTGTGAATATCGATATTAATTTACCAACAATATGCATTCTTAGAATAGAATCTGGATATATTGAATGTAAAATAAAACAATGAGACAATAAATAAATGACTACATACTTTTAGACCAAAATTCGTCTGATTAGATGCCATAACTCTCAATCAACTTTTTATCAGATTCGCGAAAACATGAATAGGGAAGGCAAAGATATTTAGGTTGTGATGAGTAATCTACAGAAAGTGAATCAATGATTCTTCTGATACTTGAAATACTCGTCCTTGGAAGTTTATGCTAAGAAATTTAATTGTAGGTCGAAGCTCTCTTGCCAGAATATAAAATAAATCATCTAAATCATTGGTGTAGATGATAAAGATTTGGACATGATTCCATTAAAGTTAAGTTGAGTAGATTGATTGCCCGGAGATTGCGAGAATTAAGAATAACTGAAGAAATCGTCGATGTGATAAGTATGTGTACCTAAATCAAATTTTTCCAGACGAAGATGTTGGAGAGCATTCATTGCCACTAGTTTTGATAATTTCCTCTAATAGATTAGCTGGCGGTTCCTGGACAACATCCGCAAGACTAATTGAGAAATATTCCAAATTTTAGCCGTGTCAAACCAACATGACTGTTCTAACAGTGTGCACTCACAGAAACTTAAACAGATTGACACACGAGCTCCATCCTGGAATTATGCTGTAAATTCATAGCTATTTGACTTTAAAGAATCATCACTGTAATACTTTTAAGCGAATGGCAGGTATTGGCCAAATTTTCAAAGAACATTTGGTGATTTTTTCCTAATGTAAATTTGTCGACATTAAGTTCCTTGAGATTTCCAAACAACTTTTGAGTTGAGCATTCTTTGGAATTAGATACCAGAATTCCTCAAATCAATATTTAAAGAAGCCGACTCGGTTAATAAAAGTCTGCACAATGATGTTGCTAATGCTTTCAACTGCTCCTTATCTAAAAATGTATTGTATGAATTCAATAACTTATTACTTCAAACTGGTGTGCCTGAAATATTTGGAGTGTTTTTTATCAATAACAATAAGCTGTGTTGGTATATATCGCTATCAATTCTATCTTCTGATTTTTAAAAGATGAAGAAAGAAAACAGCAGTAAAATGCTCTAATATGAATTTTTTTACTAATGATCAAAGAAAATTAATTTTATTACCATTACTATTTTGAAGAAAACTTATTCAGAATACAAATTATTGGTTTATATTTTAGAATGAATGCTTTCTATCGCTTTGTCACTTACTATGTATTTGCAATGGCATCATGTGAAAAAGCTCGATTATTATAACGAAGTAATTACTGCGTACAGTGGTATGATAACATTCATTTAAAATTGCGGAAAATAACTTGGATAAATCACTGTTAAATCATAGCAAACACATGAATAAATGTAAAATATTCAAAAATGTAAAATAAAGGAAAAATAGACACTTACCATCATGAAAAGGCTTTTCAATATATTTGATCCCATAGAATTCGATTTCATCTGTAGCATAACCAATATCTTCAACATCGATAAAGATAGAAAGATACTTTACGTGGCAACAAATAGCCTCCAAGAAATTTTTATTGAATCCATAAAAATATCCTCCCGCATGTGTAAGCGCTGCCCCATAAATTGCAAGCGAACTAATTTGTGGTGGAAGTGACTGCCCCAAGCTAGGTAATTCTTCACTTATATTTAAAGTATAGAAATCGACATGCTTGAGTTTTGGGCAAGATTCTGGTAAAGAGGAAATCTGCTCTAAGTTTAGCTCTCCCAAACTTAGAGCTCGTAAATTCCGAGAGTGTACAAGTATAAAAGGTAATAATTCCGCAACCATGGCTATTCCTTCATCAGAAGTATATAAAAATCGAGTCTCTTGAATTAAAAGATACAGGAGATTATCGCCACTTGTCTCGATTATTTGCTTGATGAATGCTAGTGGCATTTCTCCGAATGTTCCTTCAATCGCTAGAAATTCTAATTTCGTAAAAAACTTCGCAGTTTCTATCCACGAATTTTGCTCAATTGCATCGCATTCATAAAAATCCAGACAGAGAAGATTTACGCAAGAACTTAAACCTTCGATTATCAACTCAGACCAGAATAGATTAAAATCAATCTTGTAAAATCGAATGGCACCGAATATGTGAGACGAAGATTGAAGACCACTACTGATAAATCTGATAGTAGTGGCAGGTAACGAATTCAATTCTAGCCATTCGAGTTCATTTTGAGCCATTATTACGTTTTTTAATTTATCACCTTCGGCAGTTTCAATCGTTTTATTATTGTAAATATCTCTTGAATCCTTATTGAGGGTAATTCCACGAATTGAATGGCAAGCGTCGGTTATATTTTCAAAGAACTCTTGAAGCGTTTTTTCATTCTTTATTCCAGATACTCTTAATTCCTTGAGATTGTTGAAACTAGGTTGACATTCGCGAAGAATCGAGCTACAAATTTCAACATCCTCACTCAAATCATAATAGAATGACTGGATAAACTTCACCTCAGTGAGAAATAGTTGACATAATGCATAAGACAATGCATTACGTTTTTGCAGTTGTTTACCCGTCGGAGGATCAACTTTTTGCTTTAACCACGCTCCCGCTGCTACTGGAACTGCCTGTGGTTCACAGTGTTTTAAGAACGAAGCATAGTTGAATGTTGGAGGTCGTGTGGCACGTGGTCGGCTGATTCCATCTTTAAGAAGTGAGTGCCAGGTTTCTTTAGAGAAAAGACCGACATACACATTTATAATTTTCGCCAATTGTGCATTTTTTGCCAGTCTATCGGCGGTTAATTTATTTCTTCGACTCAAGAAAAAATAAGTTTCATTAGTTTGACGTGTAGACAATTTTTGTCTTTTTACTGGTAATGGTTCTTCCCAAAGAATAGGCACTATTTCGCGACACCATTGCCGATCGACAAGTAGACATTTGAATAGTGATGCTATGTTGAGATTTTTGAATATTTCTTGGCGTATTTCAGTCGGTAATAATTGAAAAATTGAGTTAGCTTCCATTTCCTGAATTCGTAAAGAAATATTTTGGTACTTGATGATAAATAGAAATAACAAGAGTAAATTTTTTTATGAAAACACAACCCTGCGTACATGTACAACAAACATTATCGTATTGGTATGCAAATCGACGAGTAAGTCAATTTTTCACGTTTTACGTACCATGATATCACGATCAGAAAGTTGTGATCTTGGAATCCACCAGGGTGACCCCCAAAAGTTCGGGCCACGTGATAATTTCTTGATGATGTCAGTGACGATGACCAATTAAATTGCAAGCTCAACGTGTAACACAAAAATTCATATTATCTCTAATAAAAAATGTTCCTTGCAAAATTTTACTATAACGCATTTTTTGTTTTCCAAATAACCTTGACTCAGATCCAAACCCTAACCCTTTTCGCATCGTTAACGTCATAAAAGAATTATCACGTGGCCCGAACTTTTGGTGGTCGCCCTGGCGGATTC